GTACGGTGCGGCGCCAAATCCGTCCGGAACATTTGGTGCTCTTGATGAAATAAACCGTCTCCACCACTGATCTCTACGGAAATTTTTTTCCGTAGAGATCAGTGGTCTCCACTAATAATAAAAAAAGGCCAGCTTTAGTTGGTGTTATTGTTGTTGTCGTTGTTAATTGTTCGTTCAAAGAGCAGTAAGCCTAGGGCCTAGGGCCTTTATTTAATGTCATCATCATCATGTTATATTTGATATTTCTATCTTGGCCTGGATACCCTAAAATTATGATGAGGGCTCGCATGCCTCTGGGCAACAGTGAATTATTTTACTTTTGCAAACTCTGGCCCACTAGGTAACAATTTCTTTCCTCTTCTCCTTGCTTCTCATTTCCTTCTCTTTCTCTATTATTTTATATATAATCACTCTCTCTCTCTCTCTCTCCCTCTCTCTTATTACCTAGTGCTATATAGGCATGTAGGATATCCGATATGTAAAGCCATTCGAGGCGAAACTATATATCATTATACATCGTTTGAAATAAGAAACACATTCAAATAAAAACAAAATTAGTCTGTCTGTACCAGACCGTGAAGCACGGACATTTTGTCCCCATAAACCGGTATAATGATATAAATGTCCCCATAACCGGTGTATATATATATATATATATATATATATATATATGTTCCCATAACCGGTGTATATAGATATACCCTATCAAGCCCAAGCTATTATGGTCGAAGGGCAGGGGCGGCCGAGCGACTTCCAAAGTGAGGGGGCACCAAGAAAAAAGGGCAATTTTCGGAAAAAGGGGCACCTACAAAGGAAAATCTCAAAGCAGAAATATACATTTTTGTTTACATTGGTATACATCCCTACATTGTGGTTACATTATCAGGGACGATTTCAATGTTTGTTTCACTTTATACACCATACAAGAAATTGCTTAAGCATCATACTTTGCAGCTGGGTGTGATGGTCTGACAATTTATTTGGGAGCGAGCAAGTTTAAGATTTGTGAGGTGGCAGTGCGAAAAATTACATCTTATTATGAGGAAAAAACCCAATCCCTGTGGGGTTATAAGCAAAGAAAAGACCTTTGATAAGTAACATAAGTATGTAATATCTTGTTTATTTTGAAAATCAGTGGTGAACATCAAATGAAGAATGCAGGTCACAGAAACCTTGAAAGCGGAAAAATACCTTTGACTTTGTAATGTTATGTTTCGTTAATACAGATTATGACTTCAATTCTATTTCATAAGATGGTGATAATTTAAACATAAGATACATTACAATTTATTCGATTTAATTCATTCATTGTACACCGTACTATACATATACCATATAAACAAATAATTTTAATATTGCTGTTGCTATTGTTGGAACTGTAATCTCCGTATTATAATAGCATTACTGTTTAATTTGCCATCTATACTTATATTTGTATGAATATAATCCAGCAAAGTTTTACTTAAAATGGATTAATATTAATATGCCAGTACTTAATTGATAGTGTTTCAGACTAGTTCAGCTAGTCTTTGGTATTTCAATTTATAACAACAGTATAGTGTACGAGTAAAATGTATTGTCATGTATGTTTTACAATGCTTTTATATAATATTATCGCTTTCAATTTAATTATTTTTGGTATGACATAATTTTGTCTTTCTGTAATGATTTTTTAACGCTATAATTATATAAACATATTTTAAAACGAAATAATCATCCTTGGAGAAGAAGGGTTATTATTTAACTGTTAGTTTGTATAAAATCTATATTCTGACCACTTGCACACTTTACTCCATTTTCTATCATATCTTGTACTATTTATTGTATTGGCTGACTGCTCCCTGGAGAATAGGATGAGAGGGGTTGTCTCTTTCTGTCTCTCACTCGTCCATGTGTCATGTTCACAATTTCTCCTCTCTTTTCATAAAGGATAGACTCGGTCTGCATCTCCACACTCTGTTTTTCCTATGTAATATATTAATTTCTTTTACAGGAAGTAACTCAAAATGTTGAACAGCAAATTTACCAACAAATTCTGATTTTACAAACTGTCATTAATTATAAATTCTAGCGTCATATCATAAGTAGAAACAATATTTTTTGTCTTGATAGTCTTGTTCCAATATGCGAACTTTATGAGGACAAAAAGTGACAAACACAAAAGTTACAAACCAAAAATCAATCTTACAAAATAGAGGGAAAATAATCAAAAAGACGAAACAAAAGATAAAGCAAGTTATCAGTCAATTTGAGGCATTATGTATTTTATTGCTTTATGATTTTCTTTCATACAATTTTTTTTGCAATTTTTTGTCGCAGTCATTACACACAATCTACATGATCTGTATTCATCAATTATGAGTTATACTACATACTCGTTCATTACAATAGCCCCCTTTGTTGATGCGGTAAAGATGGTTCAAAAGAATAATGTAATAATCGAAAGCGGAAAAAAGAAGAATGGAAAAAAATTGTTGAAAAATCTTTATCGAGATAAGGAGCTCGAGAATTGAAGGAATTTCTTCCTCTTCGGTATGCCCATTTACTTTACATGGGTGGAGAGTGGCAGAACGTATATTAATATAGTAGCAAAGGACATTAACTGTTGTGACAGGGATTCGAATCCCGTACCTTGTGCTCAATAGTTCAGGAACCTATTGACCAAACCGCGAGACCTTGCACTTGTCATGCTTAAGGTGAAAAGTAATAGTTTAAAGGGGCATGTTCAAAATATGTACGCGCTGGCGGACGGTGCTATAACTGCCTATTGACACCAACAGAAATCGGCTCTTACGCAGATGGCATGTTCCGATAACTACACTGGCGGGAACGTGCCCCTTTAAGGAGGTCAATGGTCACTAATCACAGGCATTGGTCGACGTCAATGGAAATCCAATCGACTATTTTCATTTAGAGTAACAGAAATATATTTTCTTGCCAGTTTTGATATCTGTTTTCATAAATGATGGCCCGTCTGAATTTAGATGTATGAAATCAAAGCGAATGTTTTAACCTTTGGTAGAACAGCGATGATTCATTTGACAAACTACATTAGGTAGTAAAGTAAACAGAATGACAATCAAAGTGATAAATGTAAAAACGAATCAGAGAGAAAAAATGAAGCTCAGCTATATTTGCTTGAAGACGGACTTCAGATTCAATACAAGACAATTCTTAGGGTATGAATCGTAAACAAAGAGAAAAAACAACGGAAAGTATCTATTTTTGTAGTGTAATAATATGTCATAAAGGTTTTCGTAAACTCCTTCGTCATGTTTTACAGACGTATACATGTACAACGCAAATTTTACTTTTACGGTCTAAAGAAAATTAAAACCATCATACTTGACCTCCATGTTAAACGTTCCACTACATATATGTGATGCCACCTTTAAACCTGCCTATCCTTTTTATATGTGTACTACCAACACCTGCACCATCTGCAGTTCTCCAAACTGGAGGAAGCCAATTGGCTTAAGCCAAGAAGAAGAAGATAAACAAAACAAGGAAAATTGGCAAATGAAGAATGCGATGTGTTTTAACTACAAATACCCACCACAACCAAATAACACAAGTCCTTTGTTATACTACTGTAATCAAAGCCTAAGAGCATTAAAACCTTTTAATATTGAAAGATAAATTGCTGGTATTTGTTCAAATTCATCTGTATTACGTCGGGGGAAATTGCTATAGCCATGACTTGTTGGACAAGCTTGAGCTTTTTCGTGTAACATTATTGATTCGAATATGGGTAAAAGCTCTCTTCTCGGCAATGATTTCTCTGTAATTTCGGATATTCATATTAAACTGTGGTAGAATCGCCATGACGACAGGAGGAAAACGGCATAACAGTGTGTGTTTATTAAAGGGATGCAGTCTACATCAGAACACATCAGGCGAAAGACTAATAACATGTTTAAAATACGTAAAGCTTCTACTATAATATTGCAAAATCCTCTATTCAATATAATGATTGCAAAGTTATGAAAATAGCTATAGCAAGAAAGCATGATAAATCCTGAAAACCAAAACATACGTATATTTAACAGCTAAATTATTCATACCCTTACAAAGTTTCGTAGAATTTTAAGTATTTAAAATGTTTATATGTCCTGTTCTATGTTTTTTTGAGAATGAGACATATTAAAGTTTACGTCTGACAATTTTCAACAAAGGCCCTAATTGAACCAGTCCACCTTTCATTCTTGAGTTGAGAAAAACACAAAAACATCAAATTTACAAGGGGTATCACTAAGTCTTAACTGTATAGCAACCATGAACCCCAAAGATAAGCAAACGAAGATACAACATAGTGAAGGTAGAATAAATTCGAGAATGCATAAAATCGAATATAATAATGAACGTTACATAGCGCTTATCACTCACGTAAAGAAAGTCCCTATGCGCTTAGAAAAGAAGGAAAAGGGCGGAATAGAAATGAACATTTATGCCTGGTACATGAAAATAATTAATTACAAACAATAATATGGTGTAATAATCATGCAAAAAGTTATTTCGTTTGCATGTTTTGTCGTTGTTGTATATATTTTGCAATTGCGAACAATAGCCAGTTCGGGTATCAACAAATACTTGTTGGTAGCTGCTCACATCAGCAGTCCCTGTAAGGGGAATCCCAAATAGGCCAATGAAATTGGTACATTGGATATGCCTGTCTCCAATAGATACATCAGATGTCAAATTAAATGCTTCACGCGATGACATCCTCAAAATGATAACACTTAGTAGACTTTAATGTCAATAATTTGCGCTCTTCACCATGTTCATTAGGCCTATATAATGATTGATGATTAATTTAGATTAATACAAATTCAAGTACCATCACAACCATGATAAGGTAGATTGACAAGTCCAAGGCATACGTTTTATATCGACATCATCAAAGTTTTTTTTAGTATAGCCGATGATGATGATGATGATGATGATAATAATACTACTAATAATAATTATAAGAATACTGATGATAATAATAATACAAATAGCTATAATAATAGTAAATTTAAAATGATAATGATAATAATAACAATAATACTCAGGTAGCCTCATCGGCATCAAGGCCCTTCATGAGGGCCCTGCATTCATTATTACTCCAGCAATTACCAGGTACCCATTTACACATGGTTGGAAAGTGAGAAATGCGGATTTAAACAAAATTAACTCACGGGGAATTTCAATACCCTGTTGTACATCTCATAGAAATCATGATCGAATTAAGTAACACGTCATTGCAATGTCCGCGCGTTGAAAAAGGTATATGACAGGGTAATACTGAAATTGCATTAATAAGTTGATTTTTCGAAAGTCTCTACGATATTATTGTACTAACATATTATTATATTAACACATCACTATTCCCATAACTCAACATTCTCTTTGATAACTGATATTTCAACTTTATTTATAATTTTCGTTGACCTTCACTCGATGCCTCGATGGTATAAATGTTGGACATGCGTCTCGCTGGTAATTTGTAGAGCACACCGGCTACCGTGGCAACAATCAAACACGTGATACACGCGAGCACTCCAATCAAAATGCTTGATTCCATACCGACGGGCGAACCATCTGCAGTTAAAGATCATAAATACCATGATTGAGAAAAATAAACAAAAATAATCCCCCATTCCAAAAACTAGGAAGAAGAAATGATTTATATAAAGGATTGTGCTAACTGTCATACATATTCTATTTTTTATAAGTTTACACGACTCTTTCTGAGAAACAGCCGCTGGCTCGTTGTAAGCGTCTTGAATGAAGAAAAGAGGACATTTCAGCTTAAAACTTCTAATCCATTAAGCTAATTTTATGTAATATTAAAACAATGTCATCATGAAGGACAATAATTAAAATACAAATACAACTTAAAAAGATTTGTACAAGAAAACAAGAGGTCAAATGTCAAAGGCAGGACAAGTAGGTGATACATTGAGGCTGCTCCCCATAACTGATGTAAATTTGGATATTTGACCATATAGAATACATACAAAGTGAAATACAAACAAACTACACACAAAAACAAGATCACAAATAGAAACAGTTAATTGGCATAGGCCTAGTCTGTAGGTAATAATAATAATAATAATAATGATGATTGGTATTTCTAAACCGCTCATTGCCCATCAGGCAAGGTGGTCAAGGCGCTCCAATATTTATACCCCGGCTCTGCTAGCTAGGCTACCGTTTTCAGCTCTCACATCATTCAAGGAATTCCTTCATACCGGTACCCATTTAAAACCTGGGCGGTGAGGGACAAATGTATATTAATATCTTGCCAACGTGGCGAGACTCGACTGGCGAACAACAATTGTGATCCACAGTCCAACGACGTTTTCACTAGACAAACACGACACCTTTAAAGTTAAGTGTTGTGTTCTTTAAAAAGGTAATTACCAGAGTTGTGTGCTTCTGCGGCATGCATAGTGTGGGCAGTTGAAAGAGGTCCATTAGAGATTAGATGAGGAGTGGAGCTTGCTCCACGGGTGTGACGGCTACCACGTCTGAATCTAGACTTACATCCCTGGGAACACCGAGACGATGGGTCATTATCATTACAAATGAGCACCTCACAGTGAATGAAAACCTGCATGGAAAAAAATGTATAACCGACCTCTATGACGATAACATATTCTTCAGTTGCGTTCAGTGGTATTCAGTAGTGGTTCTAGAGGGGGAAGTCTGCGGGTCTCCACCCTCCCCCCAAAATGGCACGAATGACAAGGTACCCCATAAGACAGGGTCGTATAACGTCATCTATCATTATAAACATCAAGACGGATGTTTCAAAATAAATCTAGTACTGGTCATGTGATTACGTTTTGAAAGAAATGGGCTAAAATTTACATAGAAAGGTTTAATATGTATGTAGTACCAGGCGCGTACGCAGGGGGGGGGGGGGGGTGTTTAGGGGGTTAACCCCCCCCCCTTTGGTATTTTTATGTGTATAAACCCCCCTAAAAAAACAACCCCCCCCCCTTTGTTTTGTTTTGTTTTTTGTTTTTTTGAATAATAAAAAAAAAAATAATAATAAAAAAACTATTCCCATGGCTGACCTAAAAAAGGCGACCTTACCCCCCCCCCCCCCAACAGAGCAAAATGTCAAATTTTCAAATTTCGAGACCAAAAAAGAAAAGAAAAAGTGTCCTCTTCCCCCCCCCCCCCCCCCCCCCGCTTATTCAGCGGCTGGCTGAGTCGATGCGAAATTTTCGGCCCGATTTAAAAATGTTAAACCCCCCCCCCCCCCCCCCACTTGAAAAAATCCTGCGTACGCGCCTGTTTAGTACAGAAGTGTAAGGTTTGAATTCATCAAAATTACAAGAAATTTAATCAGAATGTCTGAAAATGCTGACAAATGACTTTTTAGTGCACACATAAACGAAATTGGGTAGGCTAATATTAAACTACACATGTGGCATGGAATATTTATCAACAAATTTCCAGCTACCTCCGGTAATATTTCGAAAACGATGATCAATCCTTTTCAGGGGATATTTCTACTGTGATTTTTTTTTTCAGGCAGACGTGAACATGATACAGCTCCCTGATAACAATTATCTCAGCTTTACTCAGCCTTTTCCCTAAACCCTATTATTGTCATTCTTGCAGCTGTTCGCCTTTTACACCTTTTATTCATTATTTTGACCACTTTTGTACTTTTATCATTGTGAAAAAGAAATGGAAATACAAAAGAACGATGGCCTTATCATCCCACCTGTGTGTTTTCCTCGATGAAGGTGAAAGCGTCGATGACAAACTTGGAGAATGACGGATCAGAAGAGTACAATTTGCGCATAGTGGGATCCCCTGAGCATCTGAGATAAGAAAAGAACAACAAAACCGTCATGATAAATGTGAGTTGATCTAGTGGTTATGTCCGTGCATGGTCAGCTCTCTTGTCTGTCTTCGGCTACAAACCGACTCTGATCGAACCCAGGTTCGATACCCGGGGTTCAATACTGAGTCACCTCTTTCGGATGGTGACGTTAAAGGTCGGTCCTAGACGTACATAATCTTTATCTGATTGATACGCGATTGGTAAAAACTCATTACATACATACTCACAGATACTCACAGATACGCACGCACACACCCGCACACACCCACACATGCACGTCCGCACACACACGCCCACCGCGAATTGGAGAATTATGAGCAATTTCGTGCTATATGTCCCGTACGATTATGGCCATTTTCAATTAATCAAATCAATCAGTGATTACTTATATGACTTGAGATTTTCAACATTATTTATACAAAATGAAAAATCTCTTGTTTGACCACTGAATAATGGTGCTTTCTGGTATCACTACCAGTAGTCATAGTCAATAGATCCTGCAACTATGGATGAAACACTCGAATGAATGTTATTCTTTCGTATGAATCACGGAATCGCACTGAGTTTTTTTTTTTTTTTTTTACTATCCACCGAGAGGTGACGTTGCCTAGTTAAAATTTCAACAGACTGTGGTTCATATGGTTCGCGGTTCGAATCACAACCGCTGCACAACTGACCTTTGACGAAACATATTGATTTACATTTGTCACTCTCGACCCATGTGTAGTAAACGGGTATCTGGTAGGAAGTAACTCCTTGAATGCTTTCAGCGCCTTATGCAGCATTAATGCTTATGCCAGGGTAAAAATACTCTTTAGGTGCGTTGAGCATCCTCTAGGATGGATATGGACGCAATATAACTTGAGCTATTAAAAAAATATATATATATCATTACGGTAGCATTATGCAAACATTTCTTTATGCTTACTGATTTTGTGTATTGTTTTATCAAAAGCAAAAGTCATTTTCGTAATCTGGCAGACCTGGCAGCGGTCAGTAAATGTCCATAGAAGATGTGCGGGTGAACGTGTGTACATTTGTGTGTAAATTTGTGTGGTAAGGTGTGTGTAGTGTTTTTAGGTGTGTGTAGTTTGGAGGTTATGTTATCTTGCACATTTACAGAATGCATATCTACATGGGTTCCCATGGGGAAATTTGACAGGGAAGCACCCGAGAGTATGAATAGGTTACAAGTAGAATAGGTCTAAGTAAGGCGAATAATAGTGTTGATAATTAATAGTTTGGACTTTTTTAACCTAAGGTATACACATTAGTATTAGTACTAGCAGGACCCGTGGAAAATCCACGGGATTCTAGGGGGAGGGGAAGGGGGGGGGGGGGTAAATAGATAGAGGCCTATGTGCTATCGAAAATAACATTTGAGTATATTTCTATAGGGTCTAGACGATTTTTATAATATACGCTGTTTGACCATGAATGGCGCACCATAATACCCGTTTTAATGCATTGATTTGATGAAGAAACTGTATCATAGTAAAAGTATTCTATCCAGCATGGCTATGTTTTTAAACGACCATCTAAATTTTCTTGTGAAAACTTTACTTTGAAGAATGATTCTCAAAATTCAGTAAACATGGACAGGATAATACTAAAGTAACCCTGCTTGCATACCTCTATTCACGTAAACTATATACAAATCACGGCAATCATCATAGAATCAGAGTCGAAGCGACTGACCTGTGCGTGTGACGGTCTAGGTGGATCGAGTGAGGGTGGGGGGGGGGGGGGGGGGGGGGGGTAAATAGAAAGAGGCCTATGTGTATCGAAAATAAAAATTGTTTATTTTTATATAGGGTCTAGACGATTTTTATAATATACGCCTTTTGACCATGGCGCACCGTAATACCCGTTTTAATGCATTGACTTGATGCAAGACCTGTATCACAGTAAAAGTATTCTATCCAACTAATTGAGCTAGGCTATGTTTTTAAACGACCGTCTGATTTTCTTGTGAAAACTTTACTTTGAAAAATGATTATCGAAATTCAGCATACAGCTATACCTGGCCAGAACAATCACAATCTAAGCTCAGATTTCATACCTCTATAGTCACGAAACTAAATTGAAATCGGGGCAATAAGAGCAATTTAAAAGTATTGTCGAGTCTACTCAGCTCAGCTCACACACCTGCACAGTCACAGTTCCGACAGTGCTCGACAGCAGTACAGTGGAATGCACTGGCACTGTCCGTGTGTGGACTCAAGCCTCACTACAGCTACCTTGCAACTGCAACTGAACCGTCAGTTACGATGAATTTTTTTGTGAAAACTTTACTTTGAAGAATGATTGTCAAAATGCAGTAAACATGGACAGGATAATCACAAAGTAAGCCCTGCTTTCATACCTCTAATTCACGTAAACTATATATAAAAATCACGGCAATCATAGCATGAAAGCCGAATGAAAGTCGCAAACCGACTGTGCGTGTGAAAATCATCGCATACATTATACACGTACGTTCGTACACACAGCAGGTCCGTCTGGCCTACAAAGCATATCCTATAGAAAGACGCATAACACGGGTAAGCTCAACCCGTTGAGCGTACATATTGGCTACATCCCATCACCTGAGTGAGTCATCGGTTAATGTGTATTTCTCTGACACGCTACAAAGCATATCCTATAGTAAGAGGTCTAACTCGGGGTACGCCCCACCGTTTTAAGATGAGATTTGCTACACCCGTTGACGCGAGTGGATTCTCGTCTATTGTGTGTCTCTTCGTCTCGCTTTGATAATTAGACAAAGGGCGGGAGCACGCCTTGTCGACTCGCTCTCGCGGGTTCGTCGCCTCCTTGCAATCCACGACGCCCGCCGTGCTTTCGTCCGCCCGTCCTCCCCGGCACCCCGAAACCGCGTTTAACGGCATGGACGTCGATCGCGGGGTCGAGGTGGCACGCGGGTTACGGGAGACAGGCCTCGTGGAATTGTGCCACCGTCCTCGCGCCACGGCGGAGGCGAGCGGGGTCGGGGAAAGACGTTTTTGAGGAACCGTTTTGTACCCGTTTGGACCCCCCGCGGCGATTTTGCGTATTAATAATATAGACTAGGAGGACCCGTGGAAAATCCACGGGATTCTAGGGGAGGGGCTGATTTTAGGGTCTGAGAGGGGTTGTAGATAGATTTATGTGCGATGAAAATATAATTTGATAATTTTTATTTATTAATCTTGTAGTCTTTTATTTTTTTCAACTTTATTTATTATTATTAAATCGTTAAAAAATCACCCTAATGCCAACGTTTTATGTATTGATTTGAGCTGTTTTTATTTGTACCATTAATATATCTTGAAGTTTGGAAGAAAAAAGTGGGTTTAGTATATTGTAATAAATTGATGCATTTAGTGTATTCTTATAATTGTTTCATTTTTGTTATTTATGATCGTTTCATATTTATTCTTACTATTCTCTTCTCGTCCCCACTTTCACTATTTATTATGGTTGTTGTCATGCCTCTCTCATTCTCATTTTGCTAATTTTGCATATCTCTTTAGTTTTGCACAGCAATATCAAATTATGCAATCATTATTCTTCCTCAATCTCAGCATACTTTGAATGACAGTGACATTCATAATACATCATAAATGAAATTGATTTCAAAGATTGATTTTTAATACATGTATGAACAATTTCATATTTATTCATAACTTTTCCAAAACGAACTATGAATAACAGTTGATATATTTGACTTAACATATTCTATTAAAACTACATGTTTTAATAACAAAATTATCATCAAAAATATATTTTGTAAGTATGATACAATCAACTTGAAAGAATTACATTTATTGTATTACTTACTTATTTCATACTCTTACATATCATATAACATGATAGTTGTTATATTTAAAAATTACAATCTAATATACCTCAAAAGATTTATTGTTTGCTTTTAAAAGTAAATTTTGAAGTAAGAAAGTTGAAGTCAGGCAGATAATGAAAGATGAAGTTTACACTTACATATGTATTATTATTAAAGGTTAAAGGTTGTAGTGCAGAACACTTTAAATTGTATCATTTGCAATCAAAACATGAAAGGCATTTTACATATTGACAACATATGTATATTGTATGTATGTTTACGAACAACATTACAGTAGAACATGTAGTTTCATGGAATATAGTTTTGGTAATAAATAACATAACATTGTAAGTACAGAATCTTCTACATATGTTCTTTGGCAAGTGTTGCTGCATAATTAGTGATATGAGATCGTCTGATTTTTGGTAATAAATAACATAACATGTAAGTACAGAATCTTCTTCATTTGTTCTTTGGCAAGTGTTGTCTTTTTACTTAGAGATATGAGATCATCTGTGAGTTAAAGTCAGAAATATTTTATAATGATTTTTAAAATAATTGTAATAAGAAATCACATTTATTTTGTATACAAAAATTGAAAATGGGGTTGTGAAGAGTATCTAATTTTAAAATCAGATTATAATCAAACTTTCATATACTTGAATTTTATCACTTATTTCCATAAAGAAATAGCGATAAATATTTGAGCATTTTATTCTTTCAAAAAAACTTGTTTCAGGAAATTGAGGTAGATCAATTACTTAAAGGAATTAACGATCTGATTTATGAGAGGTGTCGGCGAGGTAGATTTAAATATTTAAAGGAAATAACGATTTGGAATATGAGAGGTGTCAGCGAATAATTGATTCATACATATAGTTAAATAAGAACATAACTTATCTACATCCACATATTTATAAAAACACTTATTTACATAGCTTTGGCAATATATGACGTATCCTCGTTTAAAAAAAGATTAAGTACTGGAATACTTTTTGATATTGCATGAATGAGTCAAGATAATCTTTGAACATAGAAATTTAATATCTATTTTAAAGGTTAAAGGCTGTAGTGCGGAACACTTTAAATTGTATCATTTGCAATCAAAACATGAAAAGGCATTTTACATATTGACAACATATGTACATTGATGTATGTTTACGAACAACATTACAGTAGAACATCTAGTTTCATGGAATACAGTTTTGGTAATCAATAACATAACATTGTAAGTACAGAAATTCTACATTTTTCTTTGGCAAGTGTTGCTGCATAATTAGTGATATGAGATCGTCTGTTTTTTGGTAATAAATAACATAACATGTAAGTACAGAATATTTTTCATTTGTTCTTCGGCAAGTGTCGTTTTTTTACTTAGAGATATGAGATCATTTGTGAGTTAAAGTCTGAAATATTTTTTAAATGATTGTTAAGATGTGATTTTTTATTTCATTTATTTTGTATACAAAAATTGAAAATGGGGTTGTGAAGAGAAATATAATTTTAAAATCAGATTATAATCAAACTTTCATATTCTTGAATTTTATCACTTATTTCCATAAAGAAATAGCGATAAATACTTGAGCATTTTATTCTTTCAAAAAAATTTGTTTCAGGAAATTGAGGTAGATCAATTTTTTAAAGGAATTAACGATCTGATATTCATGTATGAGAGGTGTCAGCGAGGTAGATTTAAATATTTAAAGGAAATAACGATTTGGAATATGAGAGGTGTCAGCGAATAATTGATTCATACATATAGTTAAATAAGAACATAACTTATCTACATCCACATATTTATAAAAACACTTATTTACATAGCTTTGGCAATATATGACATACCCTCATTAAAAAAGATTAAGTACTGGAATACTTTTTGATATTGCATGAATGAGTCAAGATATACTTTGAACATAGAAATTTAATATATATTTTCAGCGTTATGTAACATAGTCAACATACTTAAGAGTTTCAAGTATGGATTACGTCTATGTTATTGCATAATGTAGGCAAGATATCCAGTTCCCCATTAAATATTTGAAGGTAAAATATAAATGGAACTTTGATTATAAAAATACATGTAAAATACGTCATGTATGAAGTTGAAAAACCATATTTTTTCAGATCATTTTGTAGAGCTATGTTTTTTCTACTACTTTAAAAAAATGAATGCATAAAATTGTTTACCTTAATAAAAGATCAAACATTTTTGCATTTTTACAACAGGTCAAGTAGTTTTGCATACTGCAAGAGTTAAAAGAAATTATAGACATCAGTTTTTATCTCAAGCGTTATAAATGTATTTAGTTTTTAATTAGTTCTAAAAAAGAAAGAGAAATTGATATAGGTCTAAGTAATCATATTAAATAACTTTTCTTTTAATTTAAGTTAAATGAAAGTTTTAAAAAACATAGTTGAGAGTAACTTTATTCTTAAAAAACATTGGTGTACGGTACATGAGATCTTACATTATGGGCGATGATGAGGTGTCGTCGTTGTTGGAGGTTCCTTGTTCGTTTTCCTGGGGCGTTGATTGGGCTGTAGGTTGAGAAGCTATTATATTATCAGTACTGTTCATCACTTCATGTAGCTCATCTAATGCATTGCTGCATTTTAGCTGAGAGTCATTTAACGCAGATTTCATTTCTTTGAGCTGCTGCCGCAAGTTGAATCCCTCTTTGGAAAGTGCTGCATTCTTAATCAGTAATTTTTTGTTGGCTTCTTTCATACTTGATGTTTCATTTTTCATTTCTATAGCAGACTCTTCTATCTTTTCTGTCAGGTTTATTATTTGCTGCCATGCGTCCTTCGTGAGAGTCGGTGCCTTGACTTGCAGCCTTGTCATTGTACCTAAGATTTGTAGACTTGCTGCTTTGATGTTTTCCATGTTGCCTGTTTTAATGAAATGAAAGTTACATGTATGAGATACTAATTGAAGTAATTGGTATGATTTTCATGATTTTTTGGGTGGTGAAAAAAAAAAAAAAAAAAAAAAAAAAAAAAAAAGCATGCGTCTTCAAAGTAAATGGACGCAAAACACGTTTTTTAATTTAAAAAAAAAATAGAAATAATGACTTTAAATAATGTGATAGGTTATCGAGAAAATGTCCTTTTCATTTTTAAGTTGTGCTATTGTCCTTAATTCTTTCGTTTACAGCGGTTCTCAGAGTTAATGATTAGTTGTGCTGATATCGATTTTAAATTAAACTAAGTTAGTCATTCGCTTTTTTAGTTTGCTTTGGTGTTTTGCTCTACGGTTTGCGTTGCAGTCGCTGGCCGGGCGTTCTGGCTCGCTTGTGTTGCTCGGTATGGTAAATCGTTCAAAAATAAATTTAGGGTTCGAGTGGATTCATTTTAGATTTTTTAAGTTCAATTGTCTTAGCCTAAATGATATCAACTGACAAAATTCGTCACTCACCTACAAATGATGTTTATCGCGAAGTATTTATTCCAAAATTTCTTTTATAACAAAAGTTATCTCCAAATCCAAAGTACGGAAACTGTGAAGTGTATATCAAGAAATTAAATGGCGTGCGAAAGGCTTTATAAAACGCCGTGTGTGAAATACGGTACCATGCGTTGCATTTATTCGGCGGTCTTGTTGCCTTGCTTGTATTGCACGTGCTAGTGATTTTGTTTTAGATTTGTAAATTTAACTGTTTTAGTCTAAATTATTATATTCTAGAGAAGTTTTTATTCACCTAAAAATGATGATTATCGCGAAATATTTGTAAAGGAATTTTTTTCTCCCGCACAATATTAATTATCTCCGAAACCAAAGTACGAAAACCGTACAGTGGATATCAAGAAATTGATTGGCGTGCCAGATGCTTTATAAAACGCCATGTGTGAAATACCATGCGTTGCATTTATTCGGCGGTCTTGTTGCCTTGCTTGTATTGCACGTGACGATTATTTTGTTCAAATATATTCAAATTGCTAGTGAATTCGTAGATTTTTAAATTTTACTGTTTATCAAAGGTGCTAGTTTATTCGTTTTAGATTTTTAAATTCAACAGTTTTAGTCTAAAGTATAATAGTTGACAGAGTTTGTGCCTCACCTATAAATGATGTTTATGGTGAAATATTTATAAAGGAATTTTTCCTTCAGCACAATAATTTTCTTTAAAACCAAAGTACAAACAAAAAAGTTAAGTGGATATTATGAAATTCATTGGCATGCGAGATTTTTTTATATAAATTATTGTGTCTGCAATTATAAGTAAGTGAGCTTGGCAGAACAGGAAGCTTTAAAGCATAACAAAATAGTTTGTTTTGATCGAAAGCCATCATTTTAAAGACTTATGATAGAGATTGAATTTATTGTAGTTTTAGATTTTATAGTAATTGTTAGCTTTCATTTGATTCATGATTATATTTTTGACAGTTACAATTATTTTTAATTATTCATCAAAATATTTGCCATGTAATGGATTACGTTTTTGGTAGATGCGTGTATTTTTTTTTGCTATAGATTTTGGACAGTGTAGTTTTGAGGAATAAAAACAGTAAGGTTGAACCAAGATGTTTGACATAAATGATAGAGAACCTTTCTTTGATGGGGGGGGGGGGGGGGGGGGGGGGGGGGGGGTCTAACATCTTTGTTTTTAGAAAAACTTTTTTTAACAACAATTTTTAAAATTATTTTGTTTAAATTTAAAACTGGTAGCTATGATTTGTTTTTTGTTTTGGTGGGAGGGGGGCTCACGATAAACATTACAAAGAAAGCGGACAAAATATACAGTTGCTCATTCTACCTTCAACAATTGCTACGGTAGACAAAGGAACATCCCTTCACTGCTATGTAATAATGTGTAGAACAGGTGAATATGCATGTGACACCTGTTCAACAGATTTTTACATAATAGCAGTGAAGGGATGTTCCTTTGTCTACCATAGCAATTGTTGAGGGTAGAATGAGGTACTGTATATATTTTTATTTTTTTTTGTCCGTTGTGTTCATAGTGGCTGGAGCCCTCTTGATTTTTTTTTTAGACAATTTAATTTTTTGTTAAATTGTTTGGTATGATACTTTTCAACACTTTACTTTGCATCAAATTTCCTTGAATATCTGGGTGATTGGGCCTTATTGTATTGTTATTTTTTTTAATATCTCCTTTTTTAAAAAAAAAAGGACATATTTAAATCAAATTACCTACCAAATTTATGAAAGAAAAATTGTTATTTTAACACAAATTTGTTTGGGCTTGTCCGCCACACATTTTTTTTGGACAATATGCATTATTTTTATGTTCAAGTAAGTTTAAATTAAGGACATCGGTTACTTTAGACATTTGTGGATTTCATAATGAAGGCAGGGAAACAATACATGGTTCTCATTTCATTCATTCTCAAAATGCCAAAAAGAGCCCCTGAAAGTCATAAAAGAGCCACAAAAATAATTGCATATAGAGTTCTAATTAAAGAGTGTCATTTTCATGCAAGCAAGCTTGAAAAATAGCCCTCAAAATGTTTTTATTTTTTTCCCTCCTGAATGAAGGGATTTTCATTTAATGCGTTTGCATTGTATGTATTATTTATATGCATTAACACTTTTGTAATGATGTGGTGTATCTTTTTTTAAAGGATAGCATAGTATTTTTAGTCAATATTACAATGACAAAGAGGAATTTTTTAATATAATATCTTTTTTAGTCAACCATTAAAATGACTAATGCATTCTTACTTACCCTTTAGAGGAAAAGAAATTTCAACCTAGGACTTCACGATACACGATGTTCTTTGTGTAGTATTTACTGTGTTTCTTTCCTTGGCCTGAAGTGTTGTCCATCATCACACGTATGCTGTTGAGTGATTTAGCCCTGGACAATGCTACGTATAGTTGTCCATGTGTGAAAACTGGGTACGGCAGATAGATCCCAACTCTGGAGAAGGTTTGTCCTTGAGCCTTATTGATTGTCATGCAATATGCTAAACGTATTGGAAATTGTACACGGTGTAAGTTAAATGGCATGGTGGTGTCAGATGGGGTCAACTTTATCCGTGGGATAAATACACGTTTGCCTGTTATCAACACTTGCGCATCAATGACATTGTTGTACAAATTGCAAATTCTCAATCTTGTACCATTACACAATCCATCATTGATATCAAGGTTACGAAGTAACATCACAATTGCTCCCTGTTTCAATTGCAGTTTATGGAGTGGTAATCCTGATGGTGTCATTGAGTTTACAAATTCTGTTGGATAGCTCAGAGCATCTGAAGGGTCATCTGTTGTGATTGTATCTGTACTGTAGTACACTGCTGTATTCTCGGGAAGTTTTTGAAGTATTTGCTGATTTATTATGAACGTGGCATCGTTCTTTGGTGTGAGGATAGCTTCTTTTTCGACATTATTGTTGTCATTGTCATCATACATGTCCTTCACAATGTCTTTTGTGATTACTGAGGATGGAAGTACAATGGAATCACCTGGAAGTGCGTCTGTTCCAGCATCATACGTTCCTTCTCCTACCTCAAGCAGCCATTTCGCAAACTGTTTCTCACTTTCATCTGCTCTCATGTTTGTGGTCAGCTTGAAGTTGTGAAACTCTTGGAAGGTGTTTGATTTCTTAATTGTGTTCTCCATCAGTACTGCCGGAGCAACTCTTGGAATTACTGGTAAGACTTGTCGAAAGTCTCCACCTAACAGAACAATCTTTCCTCCAAAGAGTTTGTCATTATCCATTACGTCTTGTAGCATCATGTTGATGGCATCCAGTGCATGTTTTGGCACCATTGAAGCTTCATCTATTATGAATAGATCAGTATCTCGCACCTTTTGCGCTTGTTGTGTATCTGGTGGAACATTGCATGTAGATCTTTCATCAATAGGTACTGGCAATTTGTAAAAGCTGTGAATTGTTTGACCCTTGTGTAGAAGTGTTGCAGCAATGCCAGTATATGCTGTAGCAGACACCTACAAAAGATAATAAATTAAATAAGGTTATTTATATTTTAGTAAAAGCAATGTTATTTACATGAAAATGTAATTTCAGATAACAGGAAAATTAGAAATATTGTTGTGTGTATTTGCTATTTTAAATCATATGTTTCAGTACAGAATGAATGACAGAGAGATAAATATGTAAATATTTTTTTGTAAGATATATGGAACGAAGTATCAAAATAAATTTTCTGAACAATGATTACATTTTAAATGAATCTAATATTTTACTATTTCACTAATAATAGCTTTTCGCAACAAATTTAAGTCAATAAATAATTGTAATAAGGATTGTTTATATGTAATTGTAAAAAAACAACTTACTTTCAGGTTTTTCTTGTGGAATGTAGCAATGAGTCGGTTATACATTGTAGTTTTTCCTGTACCTCCTGGACCATCAATGAAGAAGGCAGTAGTCGGTGGATTCATTCCTTGGGAGATGGTTTGTTGACATTGGAGGATTGTGTTGATGACATGTTCCTGTTCTTCATTCATTTGGACATCAGGGTTATCAAATTGGTTTGCCTCATGTAGAAGATCATTTTGTATTTGACCGTCTTGTAGGGTTTCCAAAGGTAATCCAAGGGATCTACATGAAAGTCCTAAATGAAAACAGCAAAGAAACAACTACGAATTAAATTAATGCTTCAAGTTTTAGAATTGATCACATGAATAAATGCAAAATAAGCAGGATTTCATACATTGAGTTAAAAAACATTATGTTGTATTTCCATAAACAATTGAGGTTTTTTTTTGTAGACGGTACATATTTGATAAGACAGTTGTGAAGTATATCTTTATCATTTTATTAACTAAATAATATTTCTGTATTTAAGGACTAAACAAATTTTAATTTATTAAAGGTTTTACAGGAATTTTTAAAATTTAATAGAAAACTAAATGTCATAGTTACTTACCATGCTGTTTTAGGATATCATTGATGTGTGCAAGGGCATGTTGGGTTGCTTGTGGTTGAGGAAATGTTCTTCTGAAATCCTCTGTGAGTGCACTTTTATGGTTTTCCCATAATGAGAGGACATCTGTTGGATGATTGTGTGCCACTATTGTTGCAAAGAGCAGACGCATCTGTCTTGGCATCTTGTATGATGATGCTTCTCTCAATGTGTCATCCCATACTTTGTCACTTTCAAGAAGGTTGAGTTTTAGGCATGCTTCTTTGAAAGTAGAGGCTTCAATTCCATCGACGGTTTTCATGTCTTTGTAGCTCTTGGCCCCAGGAACATGCAGTAGAAGTAGACGAAGAAAAAAATCTTTCTTCGTCTTTAGGACTCACACTGTACATTCTTTGCACAGATTTGACATTTTTTTTCCGTTTTTGCCAACGGCTTGTTTTATTATTGAAAACATAGTGGTTGGGTATTTCTGTGTAGAAGTATTGATTTGCATCTTCATCTTCTTCATTGAGTTGGAACCAAGCAGATAATTTGGATTGTTTATTGTTTGCTCTTTCAAGACCTTCCTCCTCCTGTCCTCGTGTGAAGTAGACTGGTTGTTTGTTGGCAAGATGAACTGGTAGACGATGGATTGTGTGTGAACGTCCTTGCATAGAGTACTCTGACAGTCGCCAAAATCCTTCTGGTGCACTAACATATCTGCAAAATATAATAAGCAAGTGCAAGAATGTTTTTTAAATGAATTTGGGATATGATAAGAGCAATCTATTCAATGAAACTTAGAATTGACATTAAAAAGATTTGCACAACTAATTATTAAAATACTGATTTTATTAAAAGAGTTCTCTGTGAAGTTAAATTTTTTTGCTATAATGTACATTTTGTAGATTCATTTCAAAATATAAGCAATTTGAAGTTGTGTATTTTAAAAGTTACCTTGCATCCGTGAAAGAGGAGATCTCATCGTGATTTACTGTAGTTTGTGAAGTTTGCAATGTTGCACAGTCGTATCCTTTATAGATGTATTTGTACAGGTACTTCACGCTTTTGATGGACATGCAGGCTTCCAAGTTTATGTGTGCTTGATATTTTTTGGATAGATATGGGCTGTAAGGAACAATCCATCTATAAACAGGAAGAAAGAAAAAAAGGAACAAAAATACTTATAAAATAAGTTGTAAAATATAAAAAGAAAGAGGAGTATCATTTATGTGAATTTATATACATGTATATGTAAAATCTGTTCATGATTATTTATTGTTTTACAAAATTAATTAATACATGAAACAATATTTCATTTTATCATTGCATTTATTGTTTATGTTTACAATGTAGTTTTAAGAACAATATTGGTAAAACATGAACACTTTCTCTGCATATTTAAGTTTGGTAGATCAACTTAAATGAAAGATTAGCAATATAGAGGTAATATTTGTTATAGAAAAGTTTATGCATTATGATAAAATTCTACATACCTGTTATCCAATTCCTTGTGTTTGACGGTGACGGTCCTGCTATTGTCTGGTCTGGCATATTGGGGATATCCATCAGTAGAGACTGCTGTTCTTGTTTGAAACTGTTTAGGATAATCCTTGCTGCACACCCCTTCTTTCATGCATACTGATTTAGGATTCAGTACCCCACATGGCCCATGCACCATAGTAGATTTGATGATTTCAAACAGCTGTGGGTCTTCTACTGGGTCAGGGATTGTTGCTTTGATGAGGCTGTCAATATCTTCAGGCTGACGTAATTTGCTGTCTTGTTCCAGAATAATCAACATGTGGCAATGTGGTAGACCTCTCTTTTGGAATTCGATGACATGAACCCATGCTACAGGTTTGCCAAAAATGTGATTTTTAGTTATGTCTTTTATGAGTTGGTCAAGCTTCAGTTTGAAAACTCTCGAGATTAAATCAGGCCTGTCTGAACTTTGTTGGTGTGGAAGAAGGTTGCTCTTGATTTCTTCCCATTTAGGATTGCACGTAAACGTCAGAAACAGGTCTGGCTTTCCAAAGTGAGCAACTATTGACATGGCATCCTGATAGTTCTGATTCATTGCACGTGGGGAACCTTGAAAGGATGAAGGCAATATCACAATTCTACCGAGTGTGCGTTCTGTTTCAATGGCTTGCTTATTGATGTGGTCCATTAAACCTTGGTAGTGTTCAACTCGCAATTGAGATTGATTATGTCGCAGATATGACAGGCGTTCAGATTCTGTTTTGACATAGGCGTCAACTATGTACTGTTGGAAGAGCTTGCCGGATTTGTGGATGGGAGAGAATTGTTGTCTTATGGCCAAACGAAATGAATAAAACTGGAGAAGAGTTACTGAATTCCTTTTTGCTGTTGCATGTGGTGCTGAATGTTGTATGCCAGGAATCCATCCACGTTCTCCATGTGGAAATAGGATTGGGTAAGTCATGGGGTCAACGTTGGGGGATATGGTGGAAATGTTCTGTAAAGGCATATCTCTGGGATAGACAATGAGGTCTCGATCGGGGGGGATGCCATCAGTTCCTACAAACACTGCAGCGACTTCATCGTGGGTTGGCAGGTTGTATCGCCTTTGATCTGTGCCTTTTTTGATTACCATGGTGACAGTGGGTGGCTGGCAATTTGATGTGATTGCTCTATTATTCTCTTCTGTCTCAACCTCATGCATGTGCTTGTATGCAGCAGCATAAGGGTTGATGGCAATTAGTTGATCATGAATGGAATCCATTATGCCCTCATGACAATGTTCATTTTGGGGCTGGGCCAGTCTCGTTTGCGTTGCTTCTGGTCCATCAAGGATATAGATTTGGCCATATCGTCGAGGTGTATTTGGTGGTGGGTGAAGGGTTCCAGTTCTATGATATAATTGCCCATGAATACGGAAACAGTATGGTCCATGGCCTGGTGGCGGAGCCATCATTGCGCCCATCGACGCAAACGCAAATGAACTGTTGTAGTTGCGAATATGCTTCAGGAAGTTTTTTGATTTGTGGTCTTGTCCCTCAAGAAGATGCTGCAGTAAAGTAGGGTATGGTGGTAGAGGCTGGAGGTCAACTTTCCCGTTGTGACAGCAGTTACTTGCTTCATTCTTGAATCGACTTGCATGGCAGTATTGGCATTCATGTGACATTGGTCCCAGAGAGAAACTGTTCAATGTTGAGTGATAGTTTTGAGCAGCATTCAAATTAGATCGATGTGCTACATTTCCTTGAAGTTCAGTGGAATCCTGAGCATCAGTTGGTAGTAGGTGAGCAGGAGAATCACTTTGTCTTTCTGTACAGTTTATGGAATCTTGAGCATCACTTGGTAGTAGGTGAGCAGGAGAATCATCTTGTCTTTCTGTACAGTTTGTGGAATCTTGAGCATCACTTGGTAGTAGGTGAGCAGGAAAATCATCTTGTCTTTCTGTACAGTTTGTGGAATCTTGAGCATCACTTGGTAGTAGGTGAGCAGGAGAATCACCTTGTCTTTCTGTACAGTTTGTGGAATCTTGAGCATCAGTTGCTGGTAGGTGAGCAGGAGAATCACCTTGTCGTTCTGTAAACTCTGTGAAATCCTGAGCATTAGTTGGTGGTAGTTGAGCCGTAGAGTTACTTTGTCTTTCTCTCGATTGTTGTTTTAAGAATTCTCTTCGTTGTTTTTTTTTCTCTGAGTTCCTTCTACCGTCAACAGTTTTGGCTTTTCTTTTCGGCATCTGAAAAAAAGAAAAAAGAAAAGAAAACATTTTTAAAATTTAAATATTCATCCCTTTAAAATGATTTTCAATGAAGCAAAGGGCAAATGTTATGTAAGGAGAAATTGAAGTATGTTGCATTATGAGTAGATAAGTAGTAAGTGTGTATGTAGCATGTATCTGTATAGGTCTACGACAGGGTGTAGAGAGAATTTCACGCCACCATTCTTTTTCTCCAACCGTCCCACCAACTCGTAATAGGAGACTCCTGCCCCCCCCCCCCCCTCACTCCCGCTCATGGCCTGGCAGACGATGTAGAATCTCTCGATTTATGATAAAAACGTATCATACACAAATCTTTTTTGCTCAATTGCTCAAGGGGGGGGGGGGGCATTTTTCTTCTCCATCATTTGGAAACATGTAAAAAAAAAAGTAGTGGAGCGCCACTCCTCTATGTAGAGTGAGGACGGGTACAACTTCGCCTTTATGAGTTCAGGCTTCAATTCAAACAAAAGAACACAATAATTTGTTTATATTTTAAAGGGCCACTCTAACCCAATTGTAAACATTAATAGGCTAGAATCTACACGTCTTCTTAGTAATATTTCAGCCTTTAAATTGACCAAAAAATGATGATAACCATTTATTTTATGCAGATCTCATGCTTGCTGGGCTACGGCTCTCAAAAAACTGTAATTCTGCAGACCTACAGTACAGTCGGCAGAAGACATGGTAGACTCTACACCGGGCCCTTTCACTTTAGTTTCAGTTTAAAAGATCTGCAATTAATTAATATCTAGATTTACTGGATAAGAATTAATTAATATAATTATGCTTACCTCTAATCTAATCGTAGACAGGATGCCAATGAGTTCATAGCATACACTGGGTCCGAAACTCCCGTGAGAAAAATAAGCCTAAAATCACATGTAGTCCACAGACAATTTTATGGCTTCATAATTTCATGCATCTAAGCTCCTTCTACCGTCAACAGTTTTGGCTTTTCTTTTCGGCATCTGAAAAAAATAAAAAAGAAAAGAAAACTTTTTAAAAATTTGAATATTCATCCCTTTAAAATGATTTTCAATGAAGCAAAGGGCAAATGTTATGCAAGGAGAAATTGAAGTATGTTGCATTATTAGTAGATAAGTAGTAAGTGTGTATGTAGCATGTATCTGTATAGGTCTACGACAGGGTGTAGAGAGAATTTCACGCCACCATTCTTTTTCTCCAACCGTCCCACCAACTCGTAATAGGAGACTCCTGCCCCCCCTTCACTCCCGCTCATGTCCTGGCAGACGATGTAGAATCTCTCGATTTACGATAAAAAAACGTATCATACGTCTACACAAATCTTTTTTGCTCAAGGGGGGGGGGGGGGGCATTTTTCTTCTCCATCATTTGGAAACATGTAAAGAAAAGTAGTGGAGCGCCACTCCTCTATGTAGAGTGAGGACGGGTACAACTTCGCCTTTATGAGTTCAGGCTTCAATTCAAACAAAAGAACACAATAATTTGTTTATATTTTAAAGGGCCACTCTAACCCAATTGTAAACATTAATAATAATAGGCTAGAATCTAATCTTAGTAATATTTCAGCCTCTAAATTGACCAAAAAATGATAACCACTTATTTTATGCAGATCTCATGCTTGCTGGGCTACGGCCCTCAAAAAACTGTATTTCTGCAGACCTACAGTAGGTCTGGCCCTCAAAAAACTGTAATTCTGCAGACCTAAGTTACAGTAGGCCTAGGTCTGCAGTCAGCAGTAGACATGGTCATGGTAGACTCTAACTCCGGGAAGCTCCAACACCGGCGCCGCAGGCGTCGGACGCCTGCGGCGCCGGTGTTGGAGCTTCCCGGAGTTAGGTAGACTCTAACTTACACCGGGCCCTTTCACTTTGGTTTCAGTTTCAAAGAACTGCGATTAGTCTAATTGATATCTAGATTTACTGGATAAGAATTAATTAATATAATTATGCTTACCTCTAATCTAATCGTAGACAGGATGCCAATGAGTTCATAGTCATACACTGGGTCCGAAACTCCCGTGAGAAAAATAAGCCTAAAATCACATGTAGTCCACAGACAATTTTATGGCTTCATCATGCATGTGCGTCGCATACGTTATACACGTACACACATGTCCGCTTGGACTACAAAGCATATCCTATAGAAAGAAGCATAGCACGGGTAAGCTCAACCCGTTGAGGATACATATTGGCTACATCCCCTCACCCGGGTGAGTCGTCTGTTGATGTGTATTTCTCTTACACGCTACAAAGCGAACCCTATAGCAAGAGGTCTTACTCGGGATACGCCGCAGCCTTTTTCAATGAGACTTGCTACACCCGTTGACGCGAGTGGATTCTCGTCCATCGTGTGTCTCTTCGTCTCTCTTTGATAATTAGACAGAGGGCGGGTGCACGCCTTGCCGACTCGCTCTCGCGGGTTCGTCGCCTCCTCGCAATCCGCGACGCCCGCCGTGCTCTCGTCCGCCCGTCCTCCCCGGCCGCCCCGAAACCGCGTTTAACGGCGTGGACGTCGATCGCGGGGTCGACGTGGCACGCGGGTTACGGGAGACAGACCTCGTGGAATTGTGCCGCCCTCCCCGCGCCACGGCGGAGGCGGGCGGGGTCGGGGAAAGACGTTTTTGAGGAACCGTTTTGTACCCGTTTGGACCCCCCGCGGCGATTTTGCGTATTAGTAATATAGACTAGCAGGACCCGTGGAAAATCCACGGGATTCTAGGGGAGGGGGCCAAATAGATAGATAGATAGAGGCCTATGTGCTAACCAAAAAAAAATTAAGATTATCTTTATATAGAGAATTTTTATAATATATGCTGTTTGACCATGAATGGCGCATCGTAAAACAAACTATGTCAGATAGGATCTCGATAATTACTATTTATTTGCATTATTATTGTTGTGATTTCAATGTAGTTTCATGAAAAGACTACATATGCAGAGGCTTGGATTATGATTATGTTGGCATTGTTCACAAAATGTGTATAATTATTTTCAAAGTAAAGATTTTACGCGAAAAATCGGACGGTTTGTGCACAAATTGACTCGACTGTGTGTGGGACTGTGAGCGTAGAATCCAGTGAAAGATTATTTTTTTCGGGGACTCGATCTATATCAAATTTTGGGGAAATTTTTGGGGGCTACTTTTTTTATCTTTCGGGGGCTCATTTTTCTTGGGCTAATTTTTCATTAATTCATTTAAAGGTGCAGTTTGTTTAGTTTAGTAGCGTAGTGTTACGTAAAAAAAGGCGTACTTTCTGCGTCAAGTTTCTACGCCGAAAGTACGTGAATTTTGTTAAACATATTAAATTGTTTGCGTCTATCTTGCGTACTTTTTTGCGTCCCTCAGGGTATAGTAACGTAGGCCAGCGTACTCTCAGCTCAGCGTAGTTGGTACGCAACTCTACTATGGACCCCACGCCAATTAGTGATCGACCTGCCAGTGTCACAAATAAGGCATTAAAAATATGCTCATCTGACCGTAATTAAATGCCTAAAACCCCCGAAAGCTCAAATCGCTATGAGTTACCTGACCCCCCCCCCCATACTTTAAAAATTGATTTGATGCAAGAACTGTATCATACTAAAAGTATTATCATGTTTTTAAACGACCATGACGACCGTCTGATTTTCTTGTGAAAACTTTACTTTGAAAAATGATTGTCGAAATTCAGTATACAACTATACATGGCCAGAATGGAAAATCCACGGGATTCTAGGGGAGGGGGCCAAATAGATAGATAGAGGCGGCCTATGTGCTATCCAAAAAAAAATTTAGATTATCTTTATATAGAGAATTTTTATAATATATGCTGTTTGACCATGAATGGCGCATCGTAAAACAAACTATGTCAGATAGGATCTCGATAATTACGATTTATTTGCATTATTATTGTTGTGATTTCAATGTAGTTTCATGAAAAGACTACATATGCAGAGGCTTGGATTATGATTATGTTGGCATTGTTCACAAAATGTGTATAATTATTTTCAAAGTAAAGATTTTACGCGAAAAATCGGACGGTTTGTGCACAAATTGACTCGACTGTTTGTGGGACTGTGAGCGCAGAATCCAGTGAAAGATTTTTTTTTTTCGGGGACTCGATCTATATCAAATTTTGGGAAATTTTTTGGGGGCTACTTTTTTATCTTTCGGGGGCTCATTTTTTATTAATTCATTTAAAGATGCAGTTTGTTTAGTTTAGTAGCGTAGTGTTACGTAAAAAAGGCGTACTTTCTGCGTCAAGTTTCTACGCCGAAAGTACGCGAATTTTGTTAAACATATCAAATTGTTTGCGTCCATCTTGCGTACTTTTTTGCGTCCCTCAGGGTATAGTAACGTAGGCCAGCGTACTCTCAGCTCAGCGTAGTTGGTACGCAACTCTACTATGGACCCCACGCCAATTAGTGATCGACCTGCCAGTGTCACAAATAAGGCATTAGAAATATGCTCATCTGACGACTGACCGTAATTAAATGCCTAAAACCCCTGAGCTTTCGGGGGTTCAGCCCTTTGTACCCGTGGACACCACGCCTGCACTCAAATCGCTTTGAGTTACCTGAGCCCCCCCCCCCCCCCCATACTTCAAAAATTGATTTGATGCAAGAACTGTATCATACTAAAAGTATTATGTTTTTAAACGACCATGAGGACCGTCTGATTTTCTTGTGAAAACTTTACTTTGCTTGTGAAAACTTTACTTTGAAAAATAATTATCGAAATTCAGTATACAACTATACATGGCCAGAATAATCACAATCTAAGCCCAGGTTTCATACATCTATTCACGAAACTATATTGAAGTCGGGGCAATAATAGCAATTTCAAAGTGTTGTTTAGACTCTCCTCACACCACGGATAGGCCTGGCTACTCCGGTCACCGCTACTCCATGATGCTCACACACTCAGCTCCGACAGCACCGCCGACAGCAGCGCTCAACTGCCGTGGCAATACACTGTGGACTCAAGGCAGTTTGCAACTGAACTGTCACGTGAAGGCGTACTATATCACAGATCTATTTGCGCTATTCTTGTTGTGATTTCGATGTAGTTTTCATGAAAAGACCAATAAAACAGAAGCTTGGACTATGATTATGTTGGCATAGATCACAGAATTTGTATAATTATTTTCAGAGTAAAGATTTTACGTGAAAATAGGTCCATGGTTTGCGCCAGTTGTCGCAATCGCCTCGACTCGAATCGACTGTGGTGTGTGCATGTGTGTGACCTGAGAGCGTGTAATACACGTACACTATGGGCGCCGGGCCTACAAAGCATATATCCTATAGAAAGACGCATAACACGGGTCAGGTCAACCCGTTGAGCGTACATATTGGCTACATCCCATCACCCGGGTGAGTCGTCTGTTGATGTGTATTTCTCTTACACGCTACAAAGCGAATCCTATAGCAAGAGGTCTTACTCGGGATACGCCGCAGCCTTTTACAATGAGACTTGCTACACCCGTTGACGCGAGTGGATTCTCGTCCATCGTGTGTCTCTTCGTCTCTCTTTGATAATTAGACAGAGGGCGGGTGCACGCCTTGCGGACTCGCTCTCGCGGGTTCGTCGCCTCCTCGCAATCCACGACGCCCGCCGTGCTCTCGTCCGCCCGTCCTCCCCGGCACCCCGAAACCGCGTTTAACGGCGTGGACGTCGATCGCGGGGTCGACGTGGCACGCGGGTTACGGGAGACAGGCCTCGTGGAATTGTGCCGCCCTCCCCGCGCCACGGCGGAGGCGGGCGGGGTCGGGGAAAGACGTTTTTGAGGAACCGTTTTGGCCCGTGTTGGACCCCCCGCGGCGATTTTGCGTATTAGTAATATAGATTGTCTTTTCCTACTGGCCCTACAATTCTTATTACCCCATAATTGCGAAGTAGGCATGTACACCCGGGTGGAGTGGGACAAAATTGCGGGCAAAACACCTTGTCCAAGGATGTAAGGACCACGCAAGAATTATACCTGGGAGGCTGGGACCATGGAGTTACTCCATGCTGGGACCCTCGTATAAGAGCCAAGAGCCTTCCCCAATTAACCAAAGTGCTCCCACTACGGATAGGCGCATCATATGTTTTTCCGTGTATCTCATTTTCATTATATTTTCAATATGCTATTGTAATTTTTTAGCATTGTAATTAAATTAATCAATTTAATCAATTTCTGCATTAAGAGTGTTCTATTCAAATTGTTTTTCTGTTTTACAATTGAATGTCCTTAATCAGGAACTTGATGAACAACAGCTTTTGCTGATCTATTAAAAAGAAGAAAAAAATACTGTTTCAATAAATAAATGGATAAATGAAATGAGAGAGTGATTTCATTACCCATTGTCGAGGAAGTTGTAACTCTTTGCGTCATTCGGGTACTGAGATGGCGTGGCCCAGCAGTTCTCGAAAAAGACAGTCAAGCCAGCCACAGTTGTCAGATTAACCGCAAAGTAAAGATGTTCTCCAAGAATGATCTCGCCTTCGTCGTCACCTGCGAACTCGTCGAAGGTCGCATCTGTGTAGCGATCGAGTCGAAGAGAAAAGTCACCGTAGCCCGTTTCGTTGAACACTATCTCGCCGATCTTCGAGTCGAAGGAACTACCCAGGAGACGATGGCGATCAAGTTCACATTTGACAGGGATCATAAGGATGTTATCCCGCGTTATTTCCGTGCCTGGCAACGGCCGAGGTTTGTAGGACGTTACCACATTAGAATAGATAATGCTGGTCTCAGTTTCCTTAATAATAATGATGATGATAATAATAATGATAATGATGATGACGATGACAATGATGATAACAATAACAACGATAATAATAGAATAAGTAATGATAATACTGATAACAATAACAATAATAACAGCCTCTGGTGCTACAACTAATTATCACAATGATTTTGTTCATACAAAAACAATCCGCAGCATCAGTGCTATTCTTCCCGAGGGAGGTCCATTTACCATTAACTCAGTAATTGCCGGGTAGCCATTAATATGTTGACCGGGATTCGGATCCCCAACCCTTGTATTGAGAGCCAGCGAATAAACCACTACCACACAGGGCGTATCAATAAAAAGTTTACCCAACTTTGGTAGCTCCTAATTAAAAATTCATAACCAATATGACTTGGACATTGCTTTCATGATGAGGAGTAACTTATTTTCTGTTCAATGATACCCTTTTAATAATAATTTTTGCCACGGGTAAATGAGCAGCAGGGTCTTTAAAAAGTGTTGTCAACATCGCCTTTTTCTAAGATTGGGCTTTAGGAGCAAATGGGTCTTACCATAATTATGCATGTGCTTTTCTGGTCTTAAATCCTTTTTTAAGTTAAATTGTGCCCTGTGCTTCAGTGCTTCATTGTTCAAAATAATGCAATATAACTAGGTTTTCACAGAACCTTGTTTCAATTGACAGGATAACCCTTAATTATCTTAAACAGCCTACTACCTTCTTCAAGGCTTGTCCCGTAATATCTCAGTTCTCACCGCTCACGTGTCCACTGCGCCATTTCACACGCGTCAGGAGCATAAGGTGTTTAACTCGAATAGCGATTTTGATTTGGGTTACTAAACCCAAGTGCAAGAAAGAACATTTATGATGATTACATTTCAAAGAAAGTGATAACAGACTTTTATTTTTTAAGAAGGTAAAATCCTTGATAAACTTTATCCATTTTGTATCACTCAATGAGAAGGATATATTAAACAAGGGTTGCGGATGAAGGCAAGATTGCAATCATCATAACGAAGAGAATATCATAAATTTTGCTTGTAATAAGCATTTCTTTGAGTTTGAGTTGATGTTAACTATTTTTCTTCCAACTCCCTAATAGTCAATGTAAATAAATGAGCAATTGTTTTGGAATGACATAACACACACATAATGGCTTTTGACCCACATTCATTGTTCAGCCCAAACTTCGTATAGACGCGTACACGAGGATTTCGACAATACTTTTTGAAAAGCCTCCTGTTCAGTCATCGTTCGTAGCACAATTATGAAAATGGTATAATTAGACAGGGTATTAGTTTTTTGTACAATGAAATATAATTCAAGATCACACAGGTGAAAATTTTTTAATTAGAAGCTACCAAAGTTGTGTAAACTTTTATTTTGATACGCACTGTATACCTCAACACCCCGAATCACGCTACATTGAAACAGCGGTAAAATTATGCATTATGATGAAGATCGACCTCAAAAAAGAGTGTTACGAAAAGATTAAGTATGTCTCAGTTTTCTTTTTAACATGGTTAATATAGCGGTAAAATCATTTGGAAACACGACTCGAACAAAATACACAGCTCTATCTCCACTCTATAGGAACAATGGAATTGATATAATGATACATGTCAAACATGCTTTTGGTTTATATAGGCCTAGAAAATTATTCTAATTCATAGAATTTTATCAAAGGTGTGTTGTACGTCACCACGTTAGAATAGATGATGCTGGTCTCAGTTTCCTAAATAATCATAATAATAATAATAACAATAACAACAACGAAATAATAATAATAATAATGATAATGATGATGATGATGAAAATGATGATAACAATAACAAAAATAATAATAGTAGTAATGATGATAATGATAACAATAACAATAATAATAGCCTAGAGAATTATTCTGCTTCAAGGAATTTTATCAAACAGTAATAGTGCAACTGTTTAACGGCATATGACGTTTAGATCTTCTCACTGGTTCTAGGTGGGAAAGGCTCTATTAAAAGCACAGAAAAGAAGGAATCATGAATGCTTCGAAGCTCAAAGAATGATAGGCCAGTTTAACAGATTCACCTCAGTTCTGATTGGACAACGAAAATGACGGTACAAATTGTGCTTATGTTATTTACTTGCACTCTGGTTGAACACTTGTCGTATCTGGTGTATAGAACGATTTGAGTAGTATCATGATCGATCCCCACGCAATCTTCATCCTCGAAATGAATATCTTCTGCATTCGTTCCGTTTGGTAGCTGCCTTATGTCCAGGAAAACCGCCATGGATGTGCTGTCACACTCCAGGTTAACTTCTGTTAAAGATAATCATTTCCAGATGGTTTTCAAATATCGAGTGTACGCCGCATGCTCTTGCGACGATTAAACCTCGTCTATTTCCTATATAAACTAACATAATTTCTTAACTTGAACCCTGGACCCAACAATATTACTAATCCTAACCGTACACCTCACGTAAAACCCAATAGCAACCTTAACCATATTTGACGAAGTAAAGCAATTTCGTGAATACTATCTGCGCATGGGCAGATAAAGGTCATTTGTGATAAAATTGTAAAACCCACCGAGATGAATACGTGCTCATGTTATGTAATCATTAGGGACTTTTAGATTTGCATGGACTGATACGTGTGACGTCCATTCAAGGCAGTGCATTAAAAGGACGTCGATCGTAGCAATCCCCAATGTCTTCGTGTAAATCTAAAAGTCCCTAATATTCATGTGTACACCTACGGTACATTCTATGATACAAGATCAAGAGGGCAAACAAAAGCTTTTCATAAAGCACAAACATGACTTTGGCATTGATTATTCTTATACACACACAAAGTAGGACTTCTCCATGAGTAAAAATTCTGTGGATATTTGGGGTCATTTTACCCATGTGCTAACTACGAAATGGTCTATTGCCGCAGGAGCAAATGTCTGGTCACCAAAATAATATCAAAGAAATAAACTCTCAAGTGCACACAACCGTATGACGAACCTAAGCTACACAGGAAAGGTCTTCACCGATTCATGAATTTTGAAGTATAAAGCCGAAATTGATAGAATAAACAAGTTTGTGCAAATCCTACTCAACTCTTGCAAAATGGTGTTTTTTCAATGTTCGTTATCTGGCTCCAAACAGACAATGTAGTATAAAGTCCGATTAGAGAAAAAAAATTGTGTTTAAAAATTCACAGATTGCGAAATATCCTCAAAACAAATATATATAATATTCCTGGACAACTACCATTTGCAACTTCAGCATGGGGAGGGGGGTGGGCTAGGGTAGGCATCGACAGGTTTTCTAGGGGCTGGGAGGGGCGAGACTAATATCATTAATAATGCTTTTTTTAATTTTTATTCACAAAGCATTATTTTGCCTGAACTTGAGGTGGAGTGTGACCAATGCTCCGAGCCACTCACCAGTTGTGCCATACGATGTAGGTTGCGATGTAGCCGTTGCATAGTGATCATCATCGTGGGATATAGTTTAGATGATAACAAAGGGGGGAAAGAGAGAGAGAGAGAGAGAGAGAGAAAGAGAGAGATAGAGAAGGATGAGAGAGAAGGGGGAGACGGGAGTTAATGCAAGTTAAAATACATGTAAACAAACAATTACACCTTTGATCGTTTAACTTAAACGTAATAACTCGTATCACACAGAGGTATTCACATTGTGAATTTGAAGGATGTCACATTTATATTATACTTAAGTTAGCTTTTATGATATTTCTGTGAATGTTTTACTTAAAATGATGGTCTGAATATTCAATTAAAAATACGAAGTCCGACAAATTCAGAACTCAACATTTCCCAATACGCATTGCAGTTGAAATTCCACCTATTTAAAGGGATAGTCGAGTTCTGTTGCAGAGGGCGCTACTCAAAATATTTTTTTGGTGAGATAATGAAAAACTGACTGGCAAATTTGAAAGAACATACAATTTATGATAAATACGATTGGTCAGGTCGATCGTGCCTTTCATGCAGTGGGTACTTCGCAAAGCTGCGGAACAAGTAGTTTACTCCGCAACAAGGCTATCGATGTTCAGGAAAAAATTGCTTTTGAGAATAGCAGGTTGAATGAAATAAAAGTGTCTTTTGCAGGTGAAACTATCTGGTTTATTCATTTATATGCACCAAATGAAGTAAGCGACAGAATGGATTTTTTCCACGAATGTTTTCATTTATTTCATGAACATGTACTTCCAGGAGAAGGGATTGTTTCAGCCGGTGATTATAACACGGTCCTGAATTGTAAAAAGGACAAAAAAGGAGGAATAATCAAAGATGGTAATGATGCTTTGTATTTGCGTAACCAAATCTCTTTAAAAAAAAACTTAATTGATATATGGAGAGTGAGAAACCCTGAAGCAAGGGAGTGTACACATGAACAATCTTATCCATGCTTTGTACAGTCTCGAATAGACTTCGTACTGTTATCCGAATGGTTGAATAATTTTGCTTAAGTCATTATAGGTCGCTTTATGCAGACCATAATGCAGTGTATTTAAAATTCGAGTTTAAGGCCGCAAAAAAAGGGCAAATGCATTTGGAAACTGAATAACTCACTTTTGCAAGATGATGGTTATCAGAAAAATGTAATTTATCTTATTAATGACTTAGAAGCGAAATTACAATTAAAAACAGAGAATATATCAGTTTTGTGGGACATTTTCAAACAGAAAATAAGACACATGTCAATTAATGATTGTATTAATAAGGCAAGGGTGAAGAATTGTCTCATGTTAGAAGACAATTGTCAGAATTCTATGAATACGAAATACACGGTGCACAAATACGGTCAAAAATCAAATGGTATGAAGATGGTGGGCGAAATAATAAATAATTTTTAGGCTTAGAAAAAAGAAACTTTAAGTTAGAGAATATGTTTAAAGTAAATGTTAATGTAATAATATACAGAAATATGAAAGATATAATTGTAGCTGAAGTTAAATATTTTTCTCGTTTGTATTCGGCGACAGGAAAAGAGAATGAAGTGAATGATTATCTGAAAAACATTAAGGTTGATAATGTATTAAATGAAAAACAAAATAGATACTGTGATTTAGAAATAACACTTACAGAATGTAATGACGCCCTAAATGGGACTAAAAAAGAAAAAAAAACAGGTTCAGAGGGTTTGACTTTTGAGTTTAACCAATGTTTTTGGAATAATTTGCAACATATTCTGTTAAATTTATTCATAACATCATTGTTAATAGGAAATTTACCTATTTCACAAACTAGAGCTGTCATAACCCTTTTACATAAGAAAGGTGATAAAGAAAAATCTTTCAAATTGGAGGCCGATTAGTCTCCTAAATACCGATTATAAAAGCATCTGTGTTAGCAGGAATGTTGAAAAAAGTATTAAATGTTTGTATTGATTCAGATCAAAAGGCATATCTTAAAGGACGTTTTATTGGGAACAATATTCGTTTGATCGATGATCATATATGTTATTTTTAAGAAAAAGAGAATTCCGGAGCTGTTATCTTTTTGGACATAGAAAAGGTTTACGATCAAATAAGTTGGGATTTTCTTTATAAAATTTAGACAAATTTAACTTTGATTGCATATTTATTGGACATATAAAAACTCTTAAAAAAATGTTCAAAATTGTATTATTAATAATAATTGGCAATCATCTTTTTTTTCTCTGCAAAGAGGTCTTCGGCAAGGATGCCCAGTGTCTGCTCTATTGTTTTTAGTTGTCATCGAAATATTAGGAACCGAGATTAGATCAGATGAAGCTATTCAAGGTGTTCAATTACCGGGATTAGGAGATATGCCTGATACAATTTTCGTTGCAAACGAAATTCTTTTAAAGATGCCATGCGTAAAATAAAAACTTTTGGTTGTGCAGCAGGACCTACTTTAAATGTATCAAAATATAAGAGGTTTGAAAATGCCAGATTTTGTCTTGCAAAGTTTTGCTTTAAAAGTAAATTGGCTCTTTAAGTTAATGGATAATAAAGATCATAATTTTAGATGAAAGATTCTCCCATATTATTATTAAAACTATCTTGGGCCTAACTTTTTAGTGCTCAAGATGAGTTTCTTAAAAAACGAAGATTTAACAGTTCTAAAAGAAACACCTTTATTTTACCAACAATGTATTTCCGCATGGAAAAAATGTCAATGTGTAAATAAATCATGTAATGAGGTCAATAATATTAGAATGCAGCTGTCATGGGGAAACACATATATAAAAGAAAAAAAAATTATGTTTATGGTGGAAACACTGGCTAAAATCTGGAATATTATTTATTGGGGACATCATAGACGCCAAAGGGGATGTGGATGTAAATCGGGCAAAAGATTTACTTTGTATTAAAAATAATTATTTATGTGAGGTTAAATTACTTTGGAAGTGTTTACCTCGTGACTGGAAAAGAAAATTAAAATGTGAAACTGTTTTGTGTTCATATAAAAATTAAAAAAAGTTATCCTGGGAAAATATATGGAAAACGAATTTGACATACGTTAAGGAAAAAAGATTAAAATAGTTTAATTTCGAACTACTCTATAAGTTATTAGTATTTGAAGAATTTCTATATCGTTCAAAAAGATCTGATCATGATTATTGTTTGAAGTGCAAATGCACAGAAAAAAATATTATCATTTATTTTATGACTGTGAGTACTCAAAAATATTTTGGAACAAGGTCTTAATTTTCTCAGAAAAACAGAAGTATTGTTTGATAATGAAAATATTGAATACAGTGATATAATTGTAGGCAAGCAATGTGATAACATAAATTCAAAATATGTATTTTAAAAAAATCTATTAATTAATTTAGCTTCTTATGTTTTATATACGCAAAAAAGAAAAGGTAATTTTACAAACAAATTCGACATTTTTTTAAAGTAAATAATTACTATGAAGGGTAAATGTTGAAAAGCATCATCTCTGGAAAGAAATGTTGCCTATGTTAAACAAAAAAGTATAATTCTTTTTGTAATATAAGTATAATTCATGTGTTTTTCTTTGTAATCGAGATAATTTCGTGTCTCTTATGTACGTATTATTATTCAGTTAATAAATGATGGGAAAAAATACGAATTAAAACATACAATTTAAATGACAAAATCATCTTTGTTTGATAAAAATTGGTTCAGAGACGGCTGTAATATCCATAAATATAACGATTTCTAATACTTGTGTATCACCACAAATATTAGATAACTTGAAAAAACCGTTGAAAAAACGAAACAGCGCCGTTTACGTCATATTTCAGCCAATGCCGATGTTGGCTTTTCGAGTTGGTTATATTACGCACAACCAGCCGGCCCATGTATTGTTATTTTTAATTAAATAATTAATTAACGGTCAACGTGTTTTTTTTTAAAGTGGAGCTGAATTGGTATGATCGTATTGGCTAAATTTCACACATTTTGGGGTCTAAAATTACCTCCATAGCAATTTTAGGTTCTAAAAGGGCACTAGAAATTTCATAGATAAGAATAAGAGCAATAGCCATGCACTTTGAAGGCATTTGCGATCTGAAAACAGAACTCAACTATCCCTTTAACACAGAGTCATGAGTCATTAATAAATCGAGATAGCAAAGAGGTTAGAAAAAATGACAAGGCGATGCACATTGGCATGGGTGTCGATCTGTAATTGATACCTATTGTTCAGGGGGATGATCTATTCATTCATCCCCCTGAACAATAGGTATTACGTAAGGATCGACACCCATGCACATTGGTATTGTTGGTGTTGAATAAATAACTGAAAGACAGAGGCATTTTTAGAGTAAGATGAGGCCCTATTCATGGAAATGTCATAAAAGATACTAAGAAATAACTTTGAAATCTTTTAACCTTACAATATTCAAAACTCAGTTTTTTACGAGTTTAGGTTTTCAGCAATCATTAATAATTGGCAATTTCAAAACATTATTATCACTATCATTATCATTATTATCATAATAATCACTACAAAACATATCATCATCATCTTCATTATTTTGTTTAGCGTAGGCCTCCCTTTTGCGTCAGGTTTCTTCACATTTCATTGTTTCTCTTTATCAGTTATATAAATGATGAAGAAGACAAAGAAATTGATTCGATTTTTCTTTCTTCATAAAAAAAACTATTTAAAAAAATAAATAAAAAAAGGATCTTTAATAACTTATTTCATAATTTAACTGAGGTCTGAAATATCTACGATATTACTTATATTTCATTTTTTTCTTTCTGTAATTTAGGCAGCACGGATAAACTATAAAGCCGAATAAAGGCTGTTCATGGCCGCGGTTTCCATTCTTTTTTTTGCGTACAGCGCTTGAAATATCCTATTTTAATCTTACAACAGGCCTACACGGATAATAGGTAGGCCTACGTGAATCCCCTCTAGACATTCTTTTAAAATTCTTTATTCATTGACGGGACTGTTTTTCTCATAATTTTCTATTTTTATGATTTTAGTTATGTGACTAAGAAGGTCGTTCAGCTACCTTCAAATAAACAGCTTATTGCGAAACTAGCTCCTTTGCCTGAGGTTCCGCGATTGTTGTAGTAGTAGACCGTCATGACGTTGCTGCTTGAATTCACACTGTCAGGTATGCTTAAATTACCAGTTGAATGTTGTATCACAGAATAACCAGTATTCGGGCCATCATACACGCGAAGATACCCGTTAGAATCAAGCCAGAAGTCGTTAAAATCGATTCGAACTGTTGTGTAGCTGGGACATTCTACGAACCACGTGCACTTGTAGTAGTCGCCATTTACATCCGGGTAATCAGGGGTTGTGAGCGTGATACGACTATCTTGGCCAGACAATGATACAGCGCTACCACATGAAGACATCGGTCCAACCTGCTCCCAAGTTGGTTCTCCTGAATATAACATACACCAAATATATGATAGATAATATATTAATAGTTGCAATAAATATAGCGTTTGGTACTTATGTTTCTAAGTGCTTTATAAGAATATTATTACACGGCATGCACCCCCTTCATCAGAATCTGCCCGGTTCTTTATAATTCCTTACACACTTTATTCAAGCCGTCGAAGATAGCGTTATCAACAAACTCACAAGCCCAGCCTGAGGAGGACCTATTTTTTTCGCCGGGCGTCCTTTTTTTTTTCATCACGCCATCATCGGCTGGAAGCAAGTAAGTAGGGGGGTAGCGTTGGTAACTAGCCTGGACTAGCCTACTTACGGCAAAACCACTTTGATAAGGCGCTAAAGCCATTTCCTTTACATGGGTGGAAAATGGCAAATGTAGATGATTGTCTTGCCAAAGGAATTTGCAAGGCCAGTCTTGTGATCCACACTCCGGAGACATACTCACTGGACCACGACATATCTTGACATGCATATTAATGTAGCTGCTTAGTAGTAAGATAGGAGAAGGCAAACAAAAACATAATTTTAAATAATGTGTCTGTTATAATTTAGATCATCCCATAATGCGGATCCGTTTTCATAATCGCAAAGTCCTGGGGGTGTTTCACAAAGATCCTAAGTAGAACTTAACACTAAGTTTGACTTAAAAATTATGGACAGCCATTGGAGCCTTAAAATGAAATAACCTCAAAAGCAGAAATTCAAGTATTTTAGACTTTTTATTAATTCCACATCCAGAACATGAAATCTCCTTGATGATAGAAAATATGAATGATTTCAATAAACAATGAATGCCTTTCAAAATAATGAATGCCTTTCAAAATAACTTTTACAATATATTTTCAAAGATGCTAATGGCTTTCCATAATTTTTAAGTCCAACTTAGAGATAAGTTCAACTTAGGATCTTTGTGAAACACCCCCAGGATATAAATTTGTCGTGCCTATTGATATCGCATTATCTTAGTTACCCAATCACATCCTCAGTCTATCAGGATTTGGATGAAGTGATTTTTAGAATACTTTGAAAGCAATGTCTAAAATAATTTTGGAATACTATATATTTATTTCATTTGTCTGTGTGTATTTGTGGAGGGGGGGGGGGGGGAGTTCAGCCACTAGTGATCAAAATTACTGCATTTTAAATTACTGCAATTTTGGAATACTATATATTTATTTCATTTGTCTGTGTGTATTTGTGTAGGGGGGGGGAGTTCAGCCACTAGTGATCCAAATTACTGCATTTTAAAATTAAGCAAGTTTTGGTTTAACTAAAAATCTTAGAAACGAATTTATCAAGCGTCAGTGTGAAACCGAGTCATCCCTGAAATACAAACTTGGCGCTCGTACTACGTATTAATATTCATAACGCCAGTATGGATTATCAGAAATGATTCTTTTAGTCTAACTTCGAAAAACCTCGGTTGAGCCGAACCGCTGTTCTTCGAAAGGATCAACTCTTGGCTCGTATTCGGTTACTTCTATCACGGATATACTATACTGTCGCTAGTAGATCCATACTAATATTGTCCACTGAAATAAAAGAGCTATCGAGGGAGAGAAAGAAGGCAAAGAAGAAAAGAGAGGGGGAGAGGGGGAGACAGAGAGATAAAGAGAGAGGGAGAAAGAGAGGGGAGACAGAGAGAGAGCAGAGAGAAGGTATTAGCTGTAATATGGAAATTGTATTGTCTAGATATATAATTGATAATTTATGTACCTCCGTTTATTAAACATACCTATGCATTTGTATTACCATTATATATCTTGTGAGCCAAAATGACCTTTTTTAACGTGAAACTTGGAAATAACCCCGAACAGTACTGAACTGAATATATCAAACCTGACGAAACAATGGAGGCTTCAGCGAGTATTCCACGTTGCTTTGTTACGTCACTCCAGTCAGTATCATTGTAGTAAAGCGTCATGGTATTGCTGGATGACTGAATGGCTCCAGAACCTGGTGTGGAACTCGACGATATTTCGGCCAACTGATAGGTTGAAGAAACAGAAGAGGCATCGTAAACTCTGAGGCGGGAGCCAGAGAAAATGTCGAAATCGTTGAAAAGCAGCGAGATTCGGTATCCGTATGGGCAGGTGAAATACCAGTAGCAGATGTACCGGTCATTCCTAACCTCGACTGGATAAGTCGGTGTTCTAAAGACAATAGATGGTGATGAAAGGTCGAGGTGTACCGTTTGACCACAGGAATCAATACCCACACTATCCCACGACAGTTCGTCTGAAAAACAAGGTAAACACACAATATTATAGGTATATAGTTCAAAGATAACAAAGTTGAATATTGTTATCAATAGAGGAAAGAACGCTCGTTGAAGATAATTTGCGTTGGATTTTACATAAATTACGATCTTCGCAATTCCGATGAAAACCGACTCTGATTTTCCGTCAGATTTGCATTACTTTAAGCTTAACTCTCGACTTAAGTGCTTATATGAAATCAAAACATGTTAAGAGTCAAGTCCAAAACCACTCAGGTCATACCTGTTAATGCGACGTCCATGGCATAACCATGACCATTTCTACTACTAGATGTATCGTAGAAAACTCCAGAGAAACCTCCTTTTGTTGAAACCACCGTAGAATTACTGACAATACCTCGAAGATCGGAAATCTGGAAGAGCGATGACGATGGATAGTCGTACACCGTCACATACTCGTTTTCTGTCTGGAGGTCGTGTACACGCATCTCAACTTGCTTACCCGAGGGACTTCTGACGTACCACCAGCAGTCGATGGTCACATCAGATTCCGAATTTTTATGATACAAAGGAGTGGTGGTTGTGACCCGTGGTGTACTTGTACTCAAAGGAATCACTCCGCCACAGAAACCCGGCACCTCCGAGGGCATTGCATCTGAGGGCGACAATAAAGAACAAAATGCGGAGCTGTTCTTCGAATTGTCATGAGGGCGCACGGAAGAGTGATGGAAAGTAAAATTAATTGATGTTATGATGCTAATTGTTTATTTTTAGCTGCGTGTGTATGCTAAGGCTGGGGAGGTATTTCTTAGGATTTCTTACCACCTGTCTTCTCAAAGTATGAAGCATATACATGTATGCTACCCTCTTTCCTATGTGTTCATCCTTTACATTACATTAATTTGAAATTTTACCTATATACAGTTAAGAATTACTACTCATTCAGTGGTAGACCCACTTGTGTGTATTATGTTCGTTCATATGTCACATACAAGAGCATATAGAGATATAAAGTCATATAAATACTATTGTAAAAAATATTGTACAATTTAGCGCTTGGGCTGCCTTCTATATTTCTTAATAAAACAATTATCATTAGTATGATATTAGAACGAAAGCGTAATACATATTTTTGTTAATAAGAACTCAAACTAACGCCTTTTTTACGAACCATACGGGCCACAGTCCGATCACGTATCCACTACGTTATGACACATCTATATTGATTATAACTATTATGGGAAAAGCATATTTTTTAGTAGCCTAGAGCCCTAGCCTGCACTAATCAATCACCCTTCATCAAGTTGAATACACAAAAAAGGGGAAAAGGTGAATTGCAAAGGAAGACTTATATTATTTAAAAGCAGAGGGATTCCATCCCATCCACATGTTTTTGATGAAAATACCATTGAAACACCTGTAGGCACCGTAAAGGGTACAAGAGATGTCAGGAGGAGGAAACATATTTGCTTCAACTAACAACCACGCATATCTTTCTTGTATTATCAGTTTAACTTTTTCTACCAGCTCATCTAGAATGTAACATGTTATCAACGTTGGATTTCTCGTTCATACCTAGAATCCTCGCTTCGAACAGGATTCCTGGGCCGTTATAACCAGAGTTGTAATCGTAGTAACGCACTATCACTCCGCCCCGTGAAGACAAGACAGTAGCAGGTGATTCCAGGCGTCCAGACAAGTAAGATACCTGGTAACTTGGACTAATAGAAGTCGGATGGTCATAAATATATATCATTTCATAACTGCCTGTCTCTAGATCAAGTACTGTCAGTTGGACCTGTTTTCCTGAAGGACTTGTAATATACCAGTAGCAGTTCAACAAAACAGAAGATCTAGACGACTGATAGTAGTACGGGATGGAGAAGGTAGCATGTGGTGAAGACTGAGTCAGTGGAATCGTACCTCCGCATGAAGCCGCGCTCGAAGAATTGGGTGTGTCTAGGAAATGAAAATATTTATAACATACATGTGTGTAAAATTATCTCGATAGATAGACGGCAACTTGCTTACATTGCTAGGTCGGGTAAACATTATGGATTGCCCTACCTTGCAAACACGTAGGCCTAATATATTCATATGCACTCTGACTTTTGAAATAATTCGTAGCATAGGCGCCGGAAGTTGGGGCGGGGGGGGGGCACTTGCGCCCCCCCCCCCCACCCTTAAAAAAAATATTTAAAAAAGCAGTAAAGGAGTAAAGATGGTTTGTATTTTTGAAACAAAAAGAACATACAAATAAGAAAACCTGAATTGAATCACATACAAATTATATTCCATTCAAAGAATGGGATTTAAATTTCCTATACATTCCGCATGCCCCTATATTTATCAATCGAGGTTTTTATAATAGCGATACCCGCATATCGTAGAAATATTGTGAGAGGATGGGAAAGCGAGTGTGTTTTTTATTATAGAGGTGAGAAGACATGAGCCCCTGAACACTGACGTACTGATGGGGGGGGGGGGGTATTTCTAATTTGAAACCAGTGATTGATAAACGTTGCTGAAATGACATGATTTTCCGGTGTTTTTCGGGGTAAATCGTACCTTTTTATGCGTTTGTTGGAAAATTACAAATTCCCAAATTTACAGTCGGGCGAAAAAAAATGCTTATTTAGAAGCATTCATGTCAGGGCATGCAGAATGTCGGGGCTTGGGGGCTCTAACCCTCCTTCACGAATTTGAAAAAGTATTTAAAAGAGAAAAAGAAAGGAAGAGAGAGAAAAAAAAATGAGTGACCCGCCAATGTCACAAAGGAGGTATCAACATATGCTAATCTGGCCGTAATTAAATGCCTAAAACTCATGAGTTTACGGGGGTTCCGCCCCCTGGACCCCCCCCCCTCCCCAAAGGGTCCTAAGGCGGCCCCTGGATGCTCGTCTGACCGTAATTAAATGCCTAAAACCCATGAGCTTACGGGCGCTCTGCCCCTTGAACCCCACCTAAGGCCCCATGGCGGGCCCTTGGATGCACATCTGATCGTAATTAAATACCGAAAACCTCTGAGCTTCCGGGGGCTCTGCCCCATGGGCCCCTGGATGCTTATCTGACCGTAATTAAATACCTAAAACCCTTGAGCTTCAGAGGGCTCTGCCCCTGGACCCCGCGCCAATTAGTGAACTGCCAGTGTCACAAATAAGGTGTCACAAATAATCTAAATATGCTTATCTGACCGTAATATAATGCCTAAAAACGCTGAGCTTCCGGGGGCAAAGCCCCTGGACCCTACACCAATTTACGCTCGCTACACTCTACCTGATCGTTAATACTCCACGTTGAAAAACGTTCCGCGGGGCCTCCATGTATCATCTAAGTGTTGTGGTGATGCAGATTTTTCTTCTACCCCCCCCCCCAAAAAAAATGGAATGTTTGCCCCACCAATCCCAAACTGCTTCCAGCGCACCTGATTCGTAGTACTTGAATTAATTAATTCGTAACGAGGCATTAACAAAGATGAAGGCCTATGTATTCAACTTGATTCCGTTACAAGCATGGCTTACTTTGTCATAAATGTGAATTTCCCACCGTCAGCGCATGGGGAGGAGGGGAGGGAGGGGGCCGTGGGATTTGAGTGGGATTCGAGTTGGAAAATAAGTGCAGACAGAGACATTTGGGGGAATCTATTTTTACTTCTACCCCCCCCCCCAACCCCGTCGGGAAAAACCCGACATCAACATTATTTCCATACCATCCAAATCAATGCCATCAAATTCCTCGACAGAAATAAATCTCTGAAGTAGTCAATGATGCATTTCTTTGGATGGGGGAAGGGAAGAATGTACAAAGTAGCCGATGACAGTAAAGAGTTCTTGTTGAAAATTCGTAGGCGTTACAAATGGAGAGCCTCCTACTTTACCTCTTACCCTGATAGCAGACTGACGTCTTAAAGACGTCATAAATTGGTCGTAAAGTGGTAAACACGTCGTACGTCGTATGGACGACGTAATTATGACGTCATTATGACGTCTTCAAAAGACTATTTTTTCCAAGATAATTTTTGTCGCATTGACGACGTCATAACGACGTCGTAATGACGTCTTTAAAGGACTAATTTTTTCAAGATATTTTTTGTCTTCTCGACGACGTCATAATGACGTCTTTAAAAGACTCTTTTTTTCCAAGATAATTTTTGTCGTATTAACGACGTCATAAAGACGTCATTTTGACGTCTTTAAAAGACTATTTTTCCAAGCTAATTTTTGTCGTATTGACGACGTGATAACGACGTCATAATGACGTCTTTAAAGGACTAATTTTTTCAAGATATTTTTTGTCTTCTCGACGACGTCATTATGACGTCTTTAAAAGACTATTTTTTCCAAGATAATTTTTGTCGTATTAACGACGTCATAAAGACGTCATTTTGACGTCTTTAAAAGACTATTTTTTCCAAGCTAATTTTTGTCGTATCGACGACGTCATTATGACGTCTTTAAAAGACTAATTTTTCCAATGTAATGTTGTCGTATTGACGACGTGCTAACGACGTCATTATGACGACTTTAAAAGACTTATTTTTCCAATGTAATGTTGTCGTATTGAGGACGTGATAACGACGTCATTATGACGTCTTTAAAAGACTATTTTTTCCAAGCTAATTTTTGTTGTATCGACGACGTCATTATGACGTCTTTAAAAGACTAATTTTTCCAATGTAATGTTGTCGTTTGACGACGTGCTCACGACGTCATTATGACGACTTTAAAAGACTTATTTTTCCAATGTAATGTTGTCGTATTGACGACGTGCTAACGACGTCATTATGACGACTTTAAAAGACTTATTTTTCCAATGTAATGTTGTCGTATTGACGACGTGATAACGACGTCATTATGACGTCTTTAAAAGACTAATTTTTTCCAATGTAATTTTTGTCGTATTGACGACGTCATTACGACGTCATTATGACCTCTTTAAAATACTATTTTTTCCAAGATACTTGTTGTCGTATCGACGACGTCATTACGACGTCTTTAAAAGACTATTTTTTCCAATATATTTTTTGTCGTATTGACGACGTCATTACGACGTCATTATGACCTCTTTTAAAGACTATTTTTCCAAGATATTTTTTGTCGTAAGGACGACGTTATAACGACGTCATTATGACGTCTCTAATAACCTAATCATTTCCAAGATAATAATCGGGTAAAGACTACAACATCTAATATGAGCATAAGTCAAAGTAAATAGGGCAATTATCAGAATTGAAATTAGGGAACAACTCCCCCCCCCCCCCTCAAATGTCATTAGTCATTATAGATTGTGCAACATCTTAACACGCACCAAGGTCTGCAATATCGATCAAGACTAAACACGCT